AATTTTTGCCAATGTGTGGTTCTCTGGACGTAGCAGTGAGTTGCATGTTGACCAGGAAACAATTCTGCAATTCTGCAAAGCGCGCCCAGTTGCATTTGCGTTATGGGCAAAAGTAGATGGAGAAATGAGAAGGCTGGAAAGTGAAGGATCAAATCAGTCCAATTTGTGGAATGGGCAGCATCAGTCATACCGATTTTGAAGCCCAGTGGGTCAGTTCACCTTTATGGGGATTTTAAGCAAATCATAAACTGTTTATTGTAGCTGGATAAATACCCAGTCCCTTGGATAGAGGATTTTTATGGAAAGCAGACAGAAGGACTGTCCTTCATGAAACTGGACATGAGCCACGCTTATTTGCAATTGCTGTTGATGAGGATTCCTACAAGTATGCTACAATTGATACCAATAAGGGTTTGTATCAATGTACAAGACTGCCATATGAGGTATCATGGACAATGGAGAACATTTTGCAAGATCAAGTTATGGAAATAGATGATGTCCTGATAATGTAAAACTAATAAGAAACACTTAGAGAACTTGCATATAGTCTTAAGGAAATATTTCAAGACAGGCACTCACCTAGGAAGGGAAAAATGTATGTTCCAGGCCTCCCACGTGACTTACTTGGGCTACAAGATCAACAAAAACGGGTTACACATTTTGGAAGATAAAATGAGGGTGACCAAAGGCGCCCTGGCTCCCACGTCTGTCCAAGAGCTGAAGCCATTCCTTCAGCTGGTGAATTATCATGGAAAGTTCATACATAACTTGGCATCTCTCCTGGCACCTTTTGGATCAACGTCTTAAAGGGGTCAGCTGTGGAAATGATCTCATAGACAGCCTGAACTTTCAATAACGAAAAGAAACAGCTATCATCCTCTAAGGTTGAGGCACGCTATGATCCCAGGAAAGATCTGGTATTGATGTTCAATGCCTCCCTGTATTACGTTGGGGTGTTGTCAGCTCATAAGTAGCCCAATGGAGACGAATGCCCAATAGCATCTGCATCCAGGACTTTGGTGAATGCAGAGTGTAAATATGTCCTGATAGAAAAAGAAGGATTGGCAGTCATATTTGGAGTCAGGGAGTTCCACCATTACTTTTATGGACAAAAACATGTGATAATCATGGCCCACAAATCCCTGCTTAAAGAGGACAAGGCAGTGCTCTCATAACATTGGGCCACATTCAGCAGTGGGCTCTAATACTAAGTGCTTATAATTATGACTTGGAACACCATCCGGGAGGCTGAGTAGCAAATGCAGATGCATTGAGCTGCCTCTCATTAGCAGATACACCACTAGTGGTGCCCCCATTGGAAAAGCCTGTAACAGTATTAAATTTTTGAGACACGCTGCCAGTCACAGCTGACAATATCAGACTTTGGACACCAAAGATCCAGTTCTTTTCAAACGGAAACAATGGAGTTGATGGGGGGGAAACCAAAGGGCCATCACAACTAGAATTGAAACACTCCTATGATGCTGCTTGACCTGCTGTGTTCATCCAGACCTGCACCTTGTTGTCTCGGATTCACCAGCATCTGCAGTTCCTACTATCTCTAGAATTGAAACATTTTTGGATGTGGAGAAACCAGCTCACAGAAGAGGAGAACATGTTTTTAAGGGAGCAAGAGTGATTGTCCTGAGCAAAGGATGCTGTCAAATACTGGCTGAACTTCTCCTGGATGGCCCTTCCAAAATGAAGGTATGTCAGTTGGCTAGGCTTGGACACAGACCCAGCTGCATTGGTGGGGCAGTGCCCAAAGTGTCAACAAGGACAAAAATTACCCATATCCATGGGAATGGCCGGGTAAACCTTGAATTTGTTTGCATGTTGACTATGTAGGTTTTTCCATGGGCTCAATGTTTTTGGTCATGGTTGACACTTGCTCAAAGTGGTTGGATGTGCATAGGTCCATTTGTCAAACACTAGGATGACAATAGAAAAACTGCGCGCATATTTTTCAATACATGAAGTCCTGGAAGTGCTGGTCACATATAACAGGCCAGCAGGGAATTTGGTTATTTCTTAAAGTCTTTACCATATAAGGACAGCTCCATTCTACCCATCATCCAATGGCCTGGCAGAAAGATCAGTCCAAACTTTGAAGGTTGGCTTGAAGAAACAGCCTACCCTTGATAGCTACTAACATGGTGCTGTTCTTGTTTGATTACAGGACCACACTCCAAGTGTTATAAGGTTGAGGTTGACCTTTCTCGGAGAACTAACACAAATCACCCAAGGAGGAGCACTTTTCCCTATAATCTGTTAAAAGAAGTGAGAAAAGTGGTGTAACCTGCCTGTCAGCAACTTCTAGCTGTTACATAAAATAAACCCCTGACCCTCACTTTACAATCAACAAGTAACTATTTATCTAACCCTAACAGTAAACAAATTAACTAAACGATTAACAAATCAAATAAATCCCTTCTAACTATTAACTATTCCTGAATAAAACAGGATTCTAATGGTATGCTGTTCGAATAAGTACAAGTCTCACTTTTATATAAAATAAAATTTTTTTAAAAATAGGCTCTTGAAATTATAGTCAGGCTACGTGTATTCCCAAATGTTCTGTGCCATTTCCTTGAAAACTTCTATCAGGAATGCTTTCTCTGTGAATTTTTCTGTCAGGAATCTTAGCTAAGAGTGCCGTAGTACCGTTGTGAATAGATAACAGCTCTCGGCTCTTAGCGCCTTCTCTATCTCAACAGATGGCAGTGAGCTCTCCTGTCTTTGCCCAACTGTCCCTTCTTTTGTACCCTTGATGACGTATCAATATTTCTTGCAATAAGATTGGTCCTATGTTCAAAACCATCAATTTTAAATTTAATTCATTTTTGGTATCTAAATGCCTGGTTCAAATTAATTGGCTAAATTGAAAACTTGTCATGATAACAAAACAAAACTGCTGCTTGGCCTGCTAGCTGTACAGCCGTTTGATACAAATGTTTCCGTTCAGGTGCTCTCACTCCACCTGCAAACCCACAAGCTGCTGCCCACAGACATCCTTTTTGTATCTCTAAACATAGAGAAAGCACATTGTCTTCTAAAGGGACCACGCACTGCTCCCCCCTAGCATTTTACAAACAACAAATTCTAACTTCCTGCCTCCTAATCCACAAGTACTGTACCCAACTTTGCAACACAAGCAACTGAAGGATAGCACCGGCAGAGTTGCTCAGGGGTAGAAAACCTGGTACAGAGTCAAGTTGGATCTTCCCGGACCTGGTGGGGAGTATGAAACAGCATTAGGAACTCCAACGCTGGACCCAAGACTCTGCCAAGTGAGAGAGACTGTTTGATATAGGGGGCAAAGTTTTTGGTGTAAGAATCACAGAAATGGCCCATGTGGGTAAGAGGCACCATCAATGCGAAGCAATGACCAGTGATGTTTGAAGTTCAGGTAGGTGTGATAATCCTGAACGAGTATGTGGACTCTTTGAGGCAGTCCTATAGTCAAGGGCTGTTGTGTAAATGAAGGGTAACTTGGTGACAGGATACCGCCTCTGTGAAGTAACTCCACAGTGTTTTTCAAAATATGTGCTTGGAAGGAAACAATATCAGCATAAGAATAGAATGAACAGGGAGTACATTCTGATTTCTTGATTTCTACTCAACAATAATGTTTTTATATTCATGCCTTGGCTTCTGTGAAGCTAATAATGTAGTGCTAGCCATGGCTATGCAGATTGTTGCGGGAAACCTACAGATGCACTCTGGAACAAAAAAGACAGTAAGACGAAGAGTAAGAGTAAGGTTTGTTTTCCATACAGGTTCAAGTATTTCATGCTGTCAAAACAATTTAGTAAACTCAAGCTTAGTTAAAAGAACTTACATTTATATAGGTCAACACAAGTGCACCGGTCTATACATTGTGTTTCTACATTTCTCTGATGGGTGAGCTATGCAGTTTACATACGTTAAGAGACCTTTGGCCTTTATAAATATTTCAGCCAAAATCGTATTATCTTCCCTTCAAAATAGTCACCTGCTGTGAGTTGTTTTCCCCCCTGCTGGTGACATTTAGTAGGATTTAATCCAGATTCTATTGTGTAAGCAGCTTATTGTCAATCAGAAATATATGTTTTCAGTCCATAGCTGTGTTGGCCAAATGTGCGTGTTTTAAATTAGTTTTGAAATGTATTCTCGAACTTGTATCAACCTCCCTTTCGTTTATATCAGTGCTGAGGTGAAGAACAAAATGAAGAAATGCTTTGTTTTCTTTCCATGTAGCTAAAATTGGTAATATTGTGGAATAAGCCAATGGGAAAGTTGGTGAAAAATGATGAGGCATCTCAAGTACTGATGCCTTTTTCCTGATTACAATAATATGATCAGATTGTGATGTTTGTTTTGCTGTGATAAACTTTCCACTGTTTATGTTAGATATGATTTGATGGAAGTTAGACTAAGCCCTTAACTCTACCTTACTTCAGTAAGGAGAGAGAGAGAATGCGACAGTTTAACTTAACCTGATAGTTTCTGAACATATCATTATCGTTATGTCGATTTAAAGATCTTTTATACATAGAGTTTTAGAACATGAGACTCTATTGTGATGTGTCAAGGCTCAACAGTTTTTTTTGTGATTAAATGACTGACTTATTGATTTTTGGCCAAAATATTAGGATTGTTTCCTGCATGGTTCAAAGCCATCCCTTTAGAGTTCCAAGTCATTAATATCTATAATAGAATATATGGAACAGCTTATTATTATTTAACCGTGAATTGATTGTGTCATTATTGTGACAGATGCACTTGAAATCTACTATGTAATTACTATGCTTGAGTTTGTGTGATTAAATAAACTATGCTGTCTTGATCTGTTAACCAAAATGCTGTGAAACCTGGATATTTATGCCAGTTACTTGAAACAATTTAATGGTTACTATGCACTTAATAAATGGTAACAATACACTGATGGGTAGCAGTACCTAATGTCAGCCTCTGAGAGGGAAAGAATCTTGTTTTGGTTCACTACATTTATATTTTTCCTGTTTTGCAGCAATTTGTGAGAAACATGGAGACTGGACAGAATTTTTAATTCAAGATTTGACTGGTGCAAGGACAGCTCCTGCAAACCTTCTGGAAGGGGTAATCTTCTAAATATATTCATAAAATAGATCTAAATAACGTGTGTATGTTTTCAAAATTGTACACTTGGTTTTAAGCTTAAAGAAAACATATTTAATTCTCAACATGTTCTGTTTAGTTTATTATTAACCCAAGTCCATCATGCTAATGTAAGAAATAAACTGCAGAATATAGTGCAAAGAAAAGTAAATACTTCAGTGAATGCAGCATCTTGTATTTTCCATTTATTGAGAGAATAAAAAGATGAATTTGGTTTTCTGAAATTTGTTTTTTTTTTCTTGAATTTCCAACAGCCACTAAGAGGGAAGAACGCTGTGGACCTCATTACCCCTAAATCTCTTATTGAACTTCAGGATTATCAAGATCCCTTCCAATACTGGATAGTCCGTGTAATTGAGAATGTTGGTGGCAGATTGTGCTTACGCTATGAAGGGTTGAACGATATTGAAAAACATGACCAGTGGTTGTTTTATCTGGACTATAGACTCCGACCGGTGGGATGGTGCCAGGAAAACGGCTGCAAGTTAGATCCACCCACAGGTAAATTTTGCAAATCTGGGAAAGGGTAATTGAATGATTGTAAAGAAGGTATTCAGTCTATTAAATATATTGCTGAATTATGCATGTAATGTGTACCTCACAGTACTAACTCCTGTGTGTATATGCTGATAAGTGGATCAGTGGCACAGTAGACAAACGATGTGCATTCCCAATTTAAACAGAAATATACTTTTCTTTCAACTGGAAAGCTTATTTATTTGTTTTTTTATCCTGGTCTGCCTTGTTCTGAACTTTTGGGATTGTAGATATTGCAATATCTGGAGGCATATAATTAATATAAATGGTAAAATATTTGACATTAATTCATTGAAAGCTGATTTCTGCTGTTGGGTTTTGATTAACATTTCTCTTCACATCTGATCAACAAATTAGATTGTATTAAACTACAGATACATGTTGAAAATTACCTAGTACAGCACTTGTACCAACCAAAAATTTGATTACAATGTAACATTTCTTCAAGGGACAATTGTATACATCAGTAATCAACTGAACATCGTATATTGATTCTATTAATGGGCTATGCTAAATAAATCCTGTAAAATTGTATTAGCTATGAAATTTCTTCCTCTTCTCTGATCACTCAAAGAAAGCCAATCTAAAACGTTTTTTTTTGAAGGAAAGTGAACAATTGCATCAATAACAGGGTGGTTGATGTATGTTATTCTCCACCAGGACTGAAGTCCAGGCATTAGGTAGAAGTTAGCACTGAGTTTAATGATTTTCCTCATTTGTCAGTTAAAGTTTTAAGAAAGATGTCTCCAGGTCCTCCAGTATCAAGCCTGGAATTGTATTTGTTGTCAAGGATAGTGGAGTTTAGATCCTTGTTGCATTTTCTTTTTTGAGGGAAAATATGATTTAAAAATCTTTGTGCGTTAATTGATCTTTTGTGGCATTGCGTCGGTTAAGTGGCAGAATAGCCCTTCACAGTGCACATAGTGGGACGGAAATTAATGAGAAAAGCTTCTGAGGGTATTTTGATGACATAGGTGAAACTTCACTGGAAATAGAAGTTCATATTTGTAAATGCAGTTTTGCTTTGCATCATCACCTGTCTGATCAAATTTTATCATAACTACAGCTAACAAGAATGAACTCATGAGGGGCATGGATAGGGTGAATAGTCAAGGTCTTTTCCGCAGGGTTCACAGCTGGGCTTTAAATATGATGGTGACAAAGGAAATCTCTGAAGTTCCTGACAGTGGAGACTACTTCTGCTGTTGGTGAGTGCAAGACAATGTGTGAGAGAGGTGCCATAGGGGCATGGTGCAGACATAATGAGGTGAGCAACAGAGAATTATATGAAATAACTCATTGGAACTCAGGAAGAGAAATCCATGATGGAACTCCCTGAAATTGGCACCTAGCCAAATTCAGCCCTGGGAGTTTGTTGTGTACAAATGAACTGCCACATTTTCAAAACTACAACAGTAGCAACAGTTTAAAAGCGCTTCACTTGCTTGTAAACAGGACATCACGAGGCCGTGAAAGTTTAGTTTGAGAACTTAGTCGGTGTGGACTAGTTGGACTGAAGGGTCTGTTTCCATGCTGTATGATTCTATGACTCTATAAAGCCCATTTTAAAAATAGGCATCTAGCGTCAGGAAAATCATCTAAGCTTACAGAACGACTAGCTGTAAATATTCCTTAGTCATACATCTTCCTTTAGAATTCTGAGCTACTTTGTTAATGTATTTTTGATTAGATTAATTTGTGAGATCTCAAGTTATAGTTCATTGTTATTGTTTTGTATGGGATTTCTGCTCTGCTATGTATTTCTGACTTGCTAACAAGGATTTTTGTGAATGATATACCACAACCTGTTTCAAAATTGCATACAAACTTCATCTTTTGAAACTTAAGATTTTAGCACAGTTTGAAGAATGAAGCTGTTTATTTCTTAAAACATTAAACATTCTGCTCTTTCCAAAATTACTGATCCTTAAAAAAAATCTCATTTAACTGTTTAGTTACTGAGGTGAATGAAAAATGAGGGTTAATGATCTGTCCCTGGCAGTCCTTTGTATTGGGAACAATCTGTGACAGTGAAGAGCGTTTTGTAAGAATGCAATAGGATCTTGATCAGCTGGGCCAGTGGGCTGAGGAATGGCAAATAATTTAGATTAGTGCGAAGTGTTGCATTTTGGTAAGACAACCCAGAGCAGGATTTACATGGTTAATGATTGGGCCATGGGGAGTGTTGTTGAACAGAAAAACTTAGGGATGCAGATACATTGTTCCTTGAGAGTGGCATCACAGGTAGGCAGGGTGATGAAGAAGGCACTTAACATGCCTGCCTTCATCAGTCAGAACATTGAGTATAGGAGTCGCTTATGGCTATGTGTGACATTGGTAAGGCCACTTTTGGAGTACTGCGTATAATTCTGTTTGCCCTGTTATAGGAAGGATGTTAATAAACCGGAAAGGGTGCAATGAAGATTTTACAAGGATGTTATCAAGACTGCAGGGTTTGAGTTATAAGGAAAGGCAGGATAGGCTGGGACTTCTTTGTCTGGTGCGTAGGAGGCTGAATGGTGATCTTGTAGAGGTTTATAAAGTTATGATGGGCATTGATATGGTGAATAGCCAAGGTCTTTTCCCCAGGTCAGGAGAGTCCAAAACTCGAGGGCGTAGGTTTAACGTGGGAGGGGAAAGGCTTAAACTGGACCTGAGGGGAAACTTCTTCACGCAAAGATGGTGCATATCTGGAATGAGCTGGTAGAGGCAAGTACAATTACATTTAAAAGACATTTGAACAGGTACATAGAAAGGAAAGAGAGAGGGCTATGAGCCAAAAGGAGGCAAACGGGGCTAGTTCAGTTTTAGTCAGCATTAACAAGTTGGACCGAAGGATCTGTATCTGTGCTGTATGACTGTTAATTTTCTTAACCTAAGTGAATGCAGTTTTGGGGAATAATAGATTGTTATAGCAGTGAATTGATTAGTGTTAAAAATATACGATTAGTTTATTGTTTTGAATATCTTAAATCTGAGGTGGAAAGCATCAGGTGCTAGAAGAAACTTAGATTGTTCAATTTGAGGAAGCTGATTAATGTGTTTTCTAAACCTTGAATCACCTCTCAATTTGTTTCAAAGAGCATCTTCCCTTTCATTTTTTTTTTTCTGGTTGTGTAGACCACCAAGGTCCGAGTGCAGTAGCAGCTTAAGCAAATATGTCAGCAATGCGCAGAAACTCCCAGCAGATGAAATCTGAGAAAAGCTGCTTAAGCTTTAAATTTGTTCCTTATAAACTAATAATTTGCATAGGAGGTGTCAAGTTAAGAATCGATTGAAAAAATTGTTACATCCCAGTGTAAATAACCTATTCCTTTTATGTGCTTTTTGCCAGGTATAAACTGAACATTTGTCTGAGAGACATCTTCAGACATTCATTTTTCATTTCTGATTATTACCATTCTTGGATCTGCAAATTTCCAGTGTATACATTTTTGTGTTAACTTTCACCATTATAAATTGTGATGTTTACATTAATAAAGAAGTTGCTTTTACAGATTTGCCACTCTACCTGCAGCCTCTGACCGATGAGGGTGCTATAGCATCAATCTTTCGTGCCTCCAATTACCTAGCCTTTAATGCAGCAAAACCTCAGTGCTAAAACAGCTTCTTAAATTCCAGTAACTTGTGCTATTTATGTTTAATTATTTATTGTATGTAATATAAAATCAAAGTGTATAAAAATAAGCACAGTACATATGATTCTAAAATGAGTGAATCCCGATATATATTTTGTATCTTTTTTTCTTTATTCAATCAGGGGATGAAGGTGTCGCTGGCTAGGCCAGCATTTATTGCCCATCTGTAATTGCCCAGAGGGCAGTTATGAGTCAGCCACATTGCTGTGGGTTTGGAGTCATATGTAGGCCAGACCAGGTGAGGATGGCAGTTTCCTTCCCTAAAGGACATTAGTGAACCAGATGGGTTTTTCTGACAATCGGCAATGGATTCATGGTCATCATTAGACCCTTAATTCAAGATATTTATTGAATTCAAATTTCACCATCTGCTGTGGCGGGATTCAAACCCAACTCCCCAGAACATTACCTGGGTCTCTGGATTAACAGTCCAGCGATAATACCACTAGACCACTGCTTCCCCTGTATATGATAACTTAGACTTATTTTAATTTGATATTCGTGCCTTTCAGTCCCACTCACGTGAAATTTTAGTAAGTTTTTACACTTGGGATGAACTTTACCAGACCTCTGGGGGCAAACTGGATGTGGGGGGTAAGGCAGGGGTTCTGTATAGTGAGGGAAATGTGGAGTGCCCATTGACTTCTCAGCACCATGAAGTTTAACATCAGTGAGAAGGTAAAGGATGGGTCTTTGCATTAAAAGATCAATTAAAGTTCTTAAGAGGAAGATGCTGTCTAAGCAGCCTTGTCAAATTTTCCCGTGTATCTTTGTAGATGGCACACTTACTTGCTACGTTTGTAGAGGGGCTGGATGTTTGTGGATTTGGAATCAAATAGTCTGCATTGTCCTGGGTGGTGTCAAGCTTATTGAGTGTTGTTGGAGCTGCACTCATCCAGCTGAGTGGGGAGTATTCCATCACACTCCTGATTTCTACCTTGTAGATAATCATAGAGTTGTCCAGCATGGAAACAGAGCCTTCGGTCCAACTTGTCCACGCTGACCTAGTTTACCAAACTAAACTAGTCCCACTTGCCTGCATTTGGCACATATCCCCCTAAGCCTTTCCTATTCATGTACCTGTCCAAATGTGTTTTAAATATTGTAACTGTCCCTGCATCTGTCACTTCCTGTGACAGTTTATTCAGCATATGAACCATCCTGTGTGAAAAAAATTGCCCCTCAGGTCCCTTTTAAATCTCTCTACTCTCACGTTAAAGAAATGTCCCTTAATTTTGAACTCCCCCGCCCTTGGGAAAAGACCTTTGCCTTGCCTATACCCCAGATGATTTTATAAACTTCTATAAGGTCACCCCTCAACTACTT